ATATGACAGAAAGGAATGATCTGATTTCCGGATGCCTGCTCCTCTGCTCCCTCCCTCCAGGATGCTGGTAGGCTGTGCCTACAGGACAAAGGGATTTGGGACTGATGGGATGCTGGCTACCAGCCCCTTACTCCTTCCTGCAGGATGGAGAGAAGAAGATACAAGAGGAATAAAGAAGTTGTCGATCCCTTTAAAATCTACTGAGTGGGCAAATCTTGCTAGTAGTGGTCAATCTTCTTTGACTACTATTCTAACTCCCTCTTGGGTGAGGGGCACTATGTGGTACATACAGACCAGCTAGAAACCTCTGGTTCACATAGACCAAAGCACACGTCCTGAAAGAAGTGGCCACAGCACATAGGCTCATCACTATGCATGCTCCATGGGATGAGCTCCAAGCCCCCATCACCCCTACCTCACCACCACCACTACATACTTATTAATCAAAGTTAACCAGAATCTCCAGCATCGCATTGTGTAATTAGAAGCAAAACAAATCTAAGTGACAAGGAATTAAATGGCTGCAGGAAAATTTTCCTCCTTTTCCTAAAATTTAAACCAAAATCCATACGAAGCATTGAGGATGCAAAATGTCATGAATGACCACTTGTCAAGTATGTTATAATGGAGATTCCTTTTGTATATGGGTTAGTTTACATGGCTGCTGAGGTTCCTCCTAAAAACTGTTCTACCCACTTTTAAATTTAATCTGTATTGTTAACATTTTCCCATCACTTTATTATGTCTAGAAAATCAACAAAATAGTAAATCAAGTCCTGATTTGTAGCATTCATCCATTCCAGAGATACAAATGCTCTCACTGAAAATTTAACAATCAGCTCACAAGCAGGTACCAGCCTGTATAGGTTGGATAAATAACACCCCTAACTCCAATTTCAAATACTATGTTCTACATGACATCAGCAGAGGACGACTTGGGTCTGGAAAGTACCAGGGATTATAAGCAGAGCCATAGGATAGTTGATTATCAAGCCCTTTCCAGTGGCTAGAGTAATATTAATTTCTTTATTCTAAGAGGAAAAGGTATAAAGAATAAGGGTGTCTCTGGTAGCAGGGATGAGGCAATGATGCCCATGTAGGCCATCATTTCCTAACTCATGGCTAGATGGCATGAGAAGCATGGTATGGGACTGGGTGGATGTAGTGGGTTAGAAGAATTTGCATTCTCTTGAACATGTATCATATGTAAACTTCAGCATATTAATATGTGAGTTCCATAAAATATATGCTCTTCTTTTCTATGCAATTTCAAATGTTTTACTTCAATTATCATAGCCATGAGCTAACGAAATACTAAATGAGATTTATATTAAGTACATGGCTATCATGAAAGCTTTAGAGCAACCACTGCAGTCATCCAAAAATAATAAGACAGATAAATGTTATTTTTACTTGTTGTACTTTCAATGTTCTTCTTACAGGCCCACTCACGTTTGAAGAAACTTGGTTAATAATTCAAAACCTATCTTTATCTCTCTGCAGATACAACCTTAAACCAAAAGCATACAAAGATTCCTGGAACTGGAAAAGAGCTGACATAGAATTGAAGTAATAGCTTTAAAATTTTCAGGGTGGGGGAAGGGGAAGGAGAGGAAAGATAAATTCAAAGTATTCTAAAAACAGATGTGGGAAAATAGTAAAGATTCTACAAATGTTATTTCTTTATAGAACTGTGGGTAAAAGATCCATGTACACTCATATATATACCCACAGTTGGACATAAATTCTGACTATAGTTTTAGGAATTAGCTTAATATTACACATTTTTAAAAACCAAGCACACCAAAAATTGTCTGGTGGCTGGCCAACTAGTGGAATAATTCAAGGTGGGCATGTGTTTTCCACAATTACAAATATGATTATCTATCAATGTACTGAGCTGCCAGTTTAAACACCTAGAAACAGATTTATGAAACTCTATTTGGAAGAAACAAGGGTAAATCAAGCACTACAAAATAGGAATACTAAGAAATATCTTAATTTCCCTATGTTAAGCCCAAAGACACAAACTGATCATTTAAATTCCTCAGAATCTACTTCCCTCAAACATTCATAAAAGAGCAACATAAAAATACAATAATCAAGAAATAAATTGCCTCTAATTACAATCAATTATTTAGACACAAGTGAATTAGTTTCAGAGTACAGCACCTACACCAATCTATTCTGTAACCTAAGTATACCTTGGTGAGTTATGTTCATATTTACTGTCAAGATGATACGTGTTGGGAGGCCTCCTATTTCCAGGCATTGGAAATTCTTTGAAACCCAAAATATAATAATGTAATGATTAGACCTAATGTAGAAATGTTGAATCACCAATATCTTTAGAAAGCGTAGATTACACTAGTGATTGTATATCCAGTACAAATCAAATGTATCCTTAGTAATGACAGCTCCCCCTCAATAACTTACAACTGATTGCTTATATTTATTCTGCTCAATGCCATTTATCTTAGAAAAGACAGTGTAGTATAGTGGATAAGTGGGGTCAATCCTGCCTCTAACACACCTTGCTGTGTGACCCTGGGTAAGACATTTCACTTTTCAGTTAATAGTTTCGGTGCTATTGGCAACTCTCCAAGACTCTAAGTGGTAAAGAAGATGCCACCCTGAATTGGGAAGAGGCTTTCCTACCATGGGAGTTCTCCTATACCAGTAAAATCCAGCATTTTAGATTGTTTAGATCATTTAGAATTTGGATTATGTCATGGTATTTAGTTAACTCTATCCAGCTTTTGATAAGTATGTCTTCTATGTTTTCATCCAATTTGACAAAATGTTGACCAGTGCAATTTCCTCTACTGACAAGAATACCTAAAATTCAGTTTCTAGTTTAACCTAGAATTGAAAATTTTCTTCTCCCTAGTTCAACTTACTTGAAACTCGTCTAACAGAAGGAAAAAAAAAGACGTCAATGATTAAAGGATACAATCAATTGATCAAACCATTAATAAGTATTAATTAAATGCTTTCTATGTTCCAGGAACTGTGATAAGCACTGAGGACAAAAAGAGAAAAAAGCAGGGTCCCCCTTGGCTTCTTTGGTTACCAAGAAAAACCACTGACCATCAATTTATTGATTGCTGGCTAGCCTAATTAATAAATTTGTTAATTACCCAGAAACTCTGTCTCTTAGGGGTTTTTGTCTCAGTGTACCTGTATATATACACATACAATCACATATGTATGTATATATACGTGTAGACACACATATGTTGCCTCCCCCATTAGAATGTAAGCTGCTTTAGGACATGAATTTTTCTGCCCTCTGTGAGGTCTAGGAGCAATCTTATTAATCAGCCATGCCCTTCAGAGACTGACTGAACTTAACAGGAGTTGGGTCTTTACAGAAAATAGGAGGAAAAACAGTGAATCACAATTAACAATCAGTTATTAATGTATTAGTATAATACTAACTTTTCTCAACACATATATACAGATCCATGTGTATATGTCTATTACACAACTAAAGGACATCCAGTTAAGGGCAGCCTACCATCTCCAGTGACAATCCATTTCATTTTTGGAAAAATGTTACAAAATTTTTCATTAAATCAAGCATAAATTTCCTTCAACCCACTGGTCTTTGTTCTGCCTTCTGGGGCCAAACAAAATGAGCTTACTGCCTATTTCATGTGATAGCGCTTCACATAAACACTGGCATTCCTCCACTCCACTTTATCTCAAGTTTTTTTCTTGATTAATAAATAGTAGAGCTTACCAACAAAGCATAATCTTTAACAACTTTCTATTGAGATTCCACCATCAGCATGGCAAAAGACTACAAGTTAAAAAAATAAGAAGTGAGGGGAAGACAGATTCCCAGACCTTTTGGAATTGCTATCCTAAGACAGAACAAAGAACAGCAACTAGAGATGGGTTACAAAATGCATGCACAACATTAAATGTGTTTATACAAAGCTAAGAAAACACTAACGTTTACTTTTTCAAAAGCTTTCTGTTTTTCCTTTGTGTTTTTCTTTTCTTTGACATAGGTTTCTGGGCAAGGCAGTGTGAGGCAAGGAGAGAAAGAAGAAGGAGTCCAGATAGTTGGGTAAGAGGATAATGACAACGCAGAGAAGATAATAACGGCTGTGGGAAGAGGACATGCCAGGAACTATGTGAGGACAATTCAGTTCTGACTGCCTTATAATTCCAGTCAACTTGATCTTTAATCACATATAACTTGGATTTATTCCTTAGCCAAGACCCAACAACGTGAAGAGTTGAAATTTTCCTTATGGGAACAAGCCAGTCCCCTGCTTTGCCGAGGCTTTGCTATGGAGGCAGAGGTGCCATACACATCAATGGAGAAAACGACCTCAAGAGTGGAGTTCTTGGTGACTGTTAGGAAGCCAAAATTACTCCCATAGGGCACAGTATACCAAGAACTAATTTAGACTTCCTTTATCCTGGACACCCTATGCAGTGAAGAATGAACTTCACTTAAACATGCTCTGTAACATTGTAGACTTTCATCTAACAGGAACTATTTTAATGATTCTCTTGAGCATGCAGTGCTTCTATCTCAAAGTTTGGAAGAGAACTTATTTATGAAACTCACAGAATTATGTTTGACATAGTAAGCAGGAGTGGCTTACAATGAAGAGTTTTCTTTTGTACCATATGAACCCTGAAATGGAAATTCCCTAAGTGGTTTGGCAGCATCACAGAATGGATAGAGAGCTGGCTTCAGAGTCAAGAAGGTCAGGGTTAAAGTTCTGTATCTGATACATCCTGGCTGTGTGACCCCATGCAACTCACAGCTCAAACAATTCTTCATGACTCCAAGCTGGAAAGCAATTGCCTATCTGCATAGGTATGAAGAATTTCCTGGTCAGAAGTTTCTTATGCCAGTAAAAATGGACCTTAGACAAATTCAGATTGGGAAAAAATGCATTTGATAATTAAATCCTTAAATAAGAAAAGCAGCAATATTTATCAAGAGAGTCATGGAAGTAATCCCAGTTACTTACCTCTAAGGATGTAGTTTTGATAATTCTGGTCTGCCTCAGCTCCCACTTTTATTAAGCAAGTCAGACCTTCAGCCACAACAAATTCATGCACCAAATCCTTGTCATCCTGAAAGGGAAGGAGGAAAAAACGATCTCACAAATGGTTCCTCTTTAGGTTACATGTTAAACCAAATTTAAACCATTAAACCAATATTCTTGCCATTATTTTTTGTTCTATTTAAATGAATTTATTTAAATATTCCTAAAGGAATTTAATAACCTGTTTTCAAAATACCATGACATTTGTGTTTATAAACTGGCTTTTCAGATATCTAAAGAAGAGGAGGTAAGAATGCTCTCTACTTTGTCAGGAGCATTTTGTACTACCTTTTTTGTTTGTTTATGTTTCAGTCGATGAAACTGTCCCATTTCCTACAAAGTCTCAAGCTGAACTGAGCATCTAGAGCCTTTTTAAAAAATTATTCCTATAAATAAGATCCCATTGAGAGGAATCATGGAGTAGTTGATAGAGGGCCAGCCTTAAAATCAGAAAGCCTTGGGTTCAAGACCTACCTTTTGACACATACTGGGCACATAACACAGAGCCAATTATTTCACCTTTCATTATACCAGACAGCTCTCCAAGACTGGAAGTTATAGATGACTCGCTAATCTGCATGACTGAAATGCATCTCAACACCAGAGTCCTCTTCATCAGCAAAATCGCAGACTGGGGGAGAAATCCATCTTACTTAAATGCATATGATCACAATGAAGGGCTCACCACTCCTGCTGTCCAAAGAGATAGGCCACATCCACTGATTTGACTTGGTTATGACACTTTTTTTTTACAATAAAGACTGTAACATATGTTTTTCCTAGTCTGGCATAGTCTCCTATTTATTGAGAGCTGGAAAAAACCTTAATGGGTCATTGAGTCCAAACCCCTCATTTTACAGATGAGAAAACTAAGCTTGAGAGAGTTAAAGTAACTTGCCCAAGGTCACACAGGTAATAAGCAGCAGAGCTAAGATTTAAATTCAGGTCCTCAATTCAAAATTATTTCCACTGTCCCAGAAATAAGCAAGTATTCTGTGGACCAAAAGTACTTGATTTTGTTCTGCATGCCGTGCAAATGATGGGAACTGAGTGGGGAGAGTGCGGAATTGAAGAGAAAAAGACAGCATTGTATTATCTATTAGTTTTCCCTTTCAGTAGCAGTTGCAGTCCAACTCTCCTCACTGTCAGTATCCCAGGAGATGTGGATTCTAGTCTCAGCTTAACTAATTAGGTGGGTGATGATCAACTTCACTAGACCTCAAGCTCTTTCAACTGTAAAATGACACCCAAGATCCCCTTTCCTTCTAAAAATTCTAGATTATTAAATAACGTTTGTTAAGAGGTGTTGTAGAGATGATTTGTGCCACTCAGGTAGGTGATCTCTAGCCCTTCCAGCTCCAATGTCCTATTATTCTAAGTCCTCTTCATTGTCATATCACTCTACAAATAAATAAACCAACCGATCCCCAAATAAAAAACTGCCTAAAGTCCCCAGTGACCCATAAAACACACACACACACACACACACACTACCACTACCACCGCCAAAGAAAAAGATCCAAGAGCTTGCCCTTCTCTACAGGTTTCAAATACTTCAAAGTATCTTCCTCTAATTTGCTAATTCACTACAGAAAGCCTGTATGAGCTCTGCCTCCTCTGCAGATTCTGCACACTACACATTACAGTGATCATGAGCAATGTATTCATTATAATGAATTGTTTGAAAATAAAGCTTAATTTATAAGTCCCTTGATGTTAATTAAAATTGGTGTCAACTGCATAACTAATCCATTGAGAACCTATATGGCTGAACCTTTGTTATTTTTATGTTTAAAACCAATCTGATCTGAACATACAGGTATTAACTTTATAATAAATCTGTTCTTGCAGTAGAAATCTCCTTGGTGGAATGAGAACTACCTAGAAATACTGTTTTCTGAATTTATGTCTATCAATCAAACAAATATGTCTATAAGTATTTATTGAACTCTGACTTCCTATGCCAGATACCAGAGCATATTTGAAGAAAAATAATACATAATCCTGGTATTTAAGTAGTTTACCATTTAGGTGGGGGGACAAATATGAAAGAGTAAAAACTAAGACAACAATATACATCTAATAACATTTCAACTTTTCAACAAAAGTGATATCACAAAGGATATCTTGATTAATTGCTCAATAAATAAAACAGACAATGAGAGTTATAGGAGTTCACAAGTAGGGAGGTGAGATAGCTTCTATAATCTTAAATATTAGGCTTTCAACTCAGCCCCTCATCTCATCTTCGTTGTTTAGCTGTTTCAGTGGTGCCCTACTCTTTGTGACCTCATTGGGGTTTTCTTGGTAAAGATACTGGAGGGTTTGCCATTTCCTTCTCCTGCTTATTTTATAGATGAAGAAATTGAGGCAAATAGGGTTAAGTGACTTGCCCAGGGTCACATAGCTAGAGTCTGGAGCCAGATTTGAACTCAGGTTCTCCAGATTCCAGGCCTGGCACTCTATCCACTGTGCCACCTTCAAACTTGTAATGTCATCGGTCCTCTTCAAGAACAAGGAATGAATAACCAATGCATCAAACAGCTGCCTGACCTTTCATCTACTCTTACCGTAAACGAGGTGAGCAGCTTCCATCTGCTACTTTTCTTAACCCAAAGATTCTCTTCCCTGCTTCTCCATTCTTCACCTGCTACAGAGAGTTGCCTCCATGGTGCTACATACATATAACCTGGGGGGTGCTTTGTGGGAATAGTCCCAGGTTGGGAAATGGAAGGTGTGTATGGAAATACTTTACATCTTGTGTAGTTGTGTGTGTGTGTGTGTGTGTGTGTGTATCTCTAAGCAGGAACTATGGACTGGAAACAAATCATAGCAATACTTGATCATTTATTCCATTTTTATAGCTCTCCAAAGAAGGAGGTCTCTTTCCACAATCCATTTCAATATTTACCAACAAAAATGTGGAGAAACGATAAGCTTGGTCACTTTAAAAGTTGAGGGATAGAGACAAGGAGAGCAAAGCCAGAGTTTTGTCCCACTTTACAGACTCAGATATTTATTATCTTTCATGTTATCCAGACCCAATAATTCTGCTATTTAGTCATGTTTAGTGACTGCCTCCATTCCATTTGAACAAGAGATAAATTTATTGGAGACATCTTAGAGTACATTCATGCATTCTTGCATTGGGTATGAGGTTGAAGGATATTATATTGCAGATTTGTTCCAAGTCTGAGATTCTGTGATATGATGGCCCTAAGATGAATAAAGAAGACATCTCAATAGGAATGAGCTTTTGAAAAATTGAAAGTCTTGACAATGGAATCATAAGTTAATAATCCCAAAGAAGAAGAAAAAAGAGAAGCATTTATCAAGAACAATGTGGTTGTGAAATGAATTCCTTGATACGCTCAGATTTTCAAAGGTCATATACAGAAGCTGGATGGAGGGACACATAACTAAGGTCTATTTTTTTTTAAAGAGTAGCATAAAGCTCTAAGAATATTAGCAGGAAAGCTAAAAGCAAAAATTATCTTAAGCTTCTAAATAGTGGTATAAGGACAACAAAATGAGCTTTGGAAGGTGACATTTAGGGTGGATTTGATCATCTTAACAGACAACAGAAAGGAAGAAATACAATGTAATTCTAATTTTGCTTCCATAGTCTCTATCAAATGAAATTATCTTCAGCCTATGATGAGTAGTTCATACATTAACTAAGAGGGAGCTGGAGACCCAAATAGGTGAAGAGATAATAAAAGATCATTTAGTAGCTCTGAATGAGGTCATGTGCTGGCCCAGATAAATGTTATACCAAGCTAGAATAAGAACTTATGAGATGATATAGATGAACTGCGGAATTGGGGAAAATATTTTTCGGAAAAGTAAAATCAGGCAAATTTTGTTCTAATTTCCACAATATTGTCTGTAACCTCAATATGCATATATGAGAAGGGGTGATGGGAAGGGGGAAGGAGAAGGGGGGGAGGGGATGGAGGGAGGAAGGCAAAGGGAGAGAATACTGTCAGAAACAAGAATTGTCACCATATTCTGTTGCCTAGTTTGACTATATATGAAGTGTCATTATCAATTCTGGGCACCACATTTTTAAAAACTTTTTTATTTAAAGTTTTGAGTCCTAAATTCTATCCCTCTCTCCCTCCCCTCACCCTTTCTGAGATGGTAAGCAGTCAAATATAGGTTATACATGTGCAATTATGTAAAACATTTCCATATTAGTCATTTTGTATAAGAGGACTCTAATAAAATAAAAAAATGAAAGAAAGAAAGTGAAAAATAGCATGCTTCAGTCTGTATTCAATCAATATAAGTTCCGCAGATAGTATACTTCATAATTAGTCCTTTGGGATTATATTGTATTGTATTGCTGAGAAAAGCTAAGTCATTCTCAATTCTTCATTGAACAATATGGCTGTTACCGCGGTCTCCTGGTTCTATTCACTTCACCATGCATCAGTACACGTAAGTCTTTCCTGGTTTTCTGAAATCATCCTGCTTGTCATTTCTTACAGCACAATAATATTCCATTACAGTCATATGCCACGGCTTGGTTAGCCATTCCTCAGTTGATGGGCATCCCTTTGATTTCCAATTCTTAGCCACCACAAAAAGAGCTACTACTAATATGACAAAAAGGAAAATGCTGGATGTTGGAGGGGATATGGGGAAAATGGGGACACTAATGTGCTGTTGGTAGTGTTGTGAACTGATCCAACCATTCTGGAGAGCAATTTGGAACTATGCCCAAAGGGCCATAAAACTATGCATACCGTTTGATCCAGCAATACCACTGCTAGGCCTATATTCCAAAGACATACAAAAAAGGAAAAAGGACCTGTTTGGATATTACATTTTAAGAGGTACGCTGATTAACCCATTTAAGCATGTACAGAGGAGGGCAACTAGAATAGCGAGGAAACTAGAAACCATGATTTCTATGGTTATGAAGAATGGTTAAAAGAATTGCGGATGATATGTATAACCTACCATGTGCCAGATACTATGTGCTAGGTACTACATGATAACTGTCTTTAAATATATGAATGGCTATCATGTGAAAAAAGGAACAGATTTATTCTGTGTGATTTTTTTTTAACTAGGCAATGGGGTTAAGTGACTTGCCCAGGGTCACACAGCTAGTAAGTGTTATGTGTCTGAGGCCAGATTTGAACTCAAGTTCTCCTGAATCCGGGGCCGGTGCTCTATGCACTGTGCCACCTAGCTGCCCCCTGTGTCATTCTAAAGGAGAGCTCTAGTAATAGGTGGCTGTTACAGGAAGGCAGATTTTGCTTTTACAGAAGGAAAAAATGCTTGAGGATTCAAGCTCCCTACCAAGAGAATGGACTGCCTTATGAGGTCATGAATTCACTACCACCAGTAGTTTTCCAGCAGAAGATGAGCAATCACTTCTAAGAGGTATTGGAGAGGAGATTCTTTTTTGCCATCTTATCCTAATCTTTTTTTCCTTTATTATTTATTTATTTTAGTTTTCAATATTCATTTCCACAAGATTTTGAGTTCCAAATTTTCTCCCCATCTCGCCCCTCCCCCACCCCAAGATGGCATGCATTCCGAATACCCTTTCCCCCAATCTGCCCTCCCTTCTATCTCCCCCACTTCTCTTATCCCCTTCCCCTTCTGTTTTCCTGTAGGGCAGGATAGATTTCTATACCCCAGTGCCTGTATATCTTATTTTCCAGTTGCATGTAAAAACAATTTTTAACATTTGTTTTTAAAGCTTTGGGTTCCAAATTCTCTCCCTTCCTCCCTCCCAATCCACCCTCATTGAGATGGCAAGCAATTTGATAAAAGTTATATATTTGCAGCAGAGGGCCTAGTTTCAAATATGTGCTTTGCACTTACCATCTATGGTCCCTTGGAAATGACACTACTGGGGCAGGGGAGGTCTCAGGTTGCTTTGTTTTGGTTTTTTTTTTCCAGGAGAGCTGGATTACAGGTGGTGCACACCTGCAATCTCAACTACCAGGGAGGCTGAGGCTGGAAGAGTCTCTTCCATATGGGAATTCTTTTTTTTTAAATTTTAAATAATTTATCTATTTTTAGTTTTCAATATTCACTTCCATAAGATTTTGAGTTTTAAATTTTCTTCCCCTCTTTCTCCTCCCCCTCCCCAAGACAGTGTGTAATCTGATATAAGCTCTAATTATACATTCATAATAAGCATATTTTCACATTAGTCATAATGTATAGAAGAATTAAAACTAATGAGAGGAACCCCAAGAAAGAAGAAATAAAACAAAAGAAAAGGAGAGCAAATAGTATGTTTCCACCTGCATTCAAACTCCACCACATGGTAATTCTGAGCTGCAGTAGGCTTTGCAGAAGGGGTGCTACACTGTCTACCATCAATATAGTGGACCTTCCATTCTAAATTGCCTAAAAAGTGGTGAAACACCCCAAGTTGCAAATTAAGTAGGTTAAAGCTCCCTTATCTATCAGAAGAAGGATCAGGTCTGTGAGTAGCCTTGAACTTTTAGCCTGGGCAAGATGGAGAACCAGTATTTTAATGATGATAATCATGATATTAACAATAAATAAAATTAGGAAGTTGGACTAGATAATTTCAAAGTTCCCTTCCATTGTAAATTTACAGTCTAGGATTCTCCCTTTATGTTTCTGTATATTTCCTGTATAAGGTCACATGTTGGATTTAAATATGTCCAGGATAAAGTTGAGGCATTTGGCCAAAATTATAAGAACAAAGCAAACATAAAAACCTCAGTGATGTAAAGATTAGAACTCCTAATGGGATAATGGAAGGTTGGTGTTAAAGGAATAGTCAGTAACTATGGTTTATCTCCAAAAGGGAAAAATAATTTTAAATAACTGCCCTAATTCTCCTGGCCCTACATGGAACCAAGCCTTTATTTGAAGTCTATAATATTTTTGAAATTACATGGATGAAGGTCTAGGGCTAAATTTGGGTAGGCACTAACGACGTCACCTCTTGAACCAAGAAACCATAGTGAAAGTTCTAATATGTTATTCAGGTGGGGAAAAAAATGTTACGTGCAATGCCCTAAAAGTAACGAAAGACATCTGTGCTTAATTCAGTTGCTTGAGATAATCATGGCTTTGGGAGAAAGAGAAAATGGGAAGATATCATGAATTTTTGGAAAATTACTTTACACCCATAAGTAAAAAGGAAATAAAAAATAATTTTCTTTCTATCCATATCCCTTTCCACCACCATATGTTAAAAATGAACATTTAGATGAGCTCATGTCTAGTCAGAAAGTTTTTCCAAGCATATAACAAATGTTTATTGCCTTAACTAAAATGTCAAATCACACATGGCTTCATTGTGCAAAAGTAATGACTAGTATTCTCATGTAATATCTCCAGCTAATCATCAAGATTAATACTGTACATAATTTTTACCAACTGGCAGAGGAATATCTGTGAGAAGAAAAAGCGAATCTATACTACATTGGTAAATCTGTATTTTATAGTGCCTCACTGTCAGTAAGTGATTTTGGTTAGAATCTGTGGTGGTCCTGGCTTAGAAATTAGAAACCTTGACTTCAGGAGGTCTGTCTTTTACTCAATGAATATCAGCTGTTAACCTGACTTTTCTGTAGGGATGACAATATTTGCCCATCAGGAATTTTTCAAGGATATTGGAAGGGTGAAATAATGTTATGAAAGTTGTTTAAGATTTCAAATGAAATATAAAATATTTAAACCAAATTAATAATTATAGAAATAGCATGACATATTGGATAGAAAGCTGGCCTCAGAGTTAGGAAGACTTGAGTTCGAATCTCTAAAACTCTGTCTCTAAATTCTCTAAAACTCTGGTAAGGTATTTAACCTCTTAGTGCCCCAGTAAGCTTTCTAAGATTGTAAGTTGCAAAACAGTTATAAATCTGCATTGGTGAAGGGAGTTTCCTCATCCAGAATTCCCTACACCAATGAAATCACAAGTAACATGAAAACAATATGTTGGGTATTCAGCCCCAGATCATTACAGAGAATCCCCAAGGAGCTTCACAATCATTCAAGAGTTTAGTCTAACTGTCCACGCAGAAAATATCAACTGGACAAAGAAAGTTTATTATCCAGAGAAAAATAACAACTGAATAGGTTCATTAAAAACTAGTCCAGCAGAAACACTTGTGTACAAGTGTCTGTGTCTGGACAATGAACTGGGCCTAGAATTAACTAGGACGAAGAGAACAGGTTGAATTGCTTTGAAGAAATTACAGTGATTTTTATTGACACCAGGCTTCCTAAAACAAAGGCCCATGTTGAACATCAATATTCTTCCATTCATCTCACACAGCTTTGAGCTGTGGAATAGCTCAACTCCAAAGAATTAAAATTACAGATCATCTGAAGGACGATGATGAGATCAATGATAGGCGTGAGTATGCTGCATCATATTAATAATGAAGACTTGAGCAGGAGAAGGACTATGAAAGATATTATCAAAGACATAGCAGACTTGAAAAGGAAGTAGTGTGGTCAAGTAGCAAATGTAAAAGAGAACTACTGATAAATAATCGCAATGATCCATTGGTATCCACATGACAGCATGGTTTAGAGGAGGCCTCCAGAATGAGAAATATATAAGAACAAACTGGGCAAAAATCACATAGGTTGAAAAAGTGTAAATAGGCTGCAATCTGCACTATCAGAGGAAGTACCCAAATTGCTGAGATCACAGGCTCATTAATGTTATGAGAAGGGCATTGTGCTGGTGAGCACTGCTGGGATGAAACAGTAAGAAAGATAGGGTCCCTGCCCATAATTAACTTATTAAAATAGCTATGGGGGATAAGATAATTACTAAAGGAAAATTATAGCACAAAACATAACAAGAGATCCTTACATATAAATGAATGGATGAATGAATGAATGGGGAGAAGAGCATTTATTGAATGGTTATTATGTGCAAAGCACTCTATTAAGCATTAAGGATATAAACAGAAATGTGAGATAGTCCCTGTTCTCAAGGAGCTTTGCTCTAATAGCAAAGTAATAAAAGGCTATGGGAGTTCAAAAGAGGAAATATATCCAATTGGTAGTGTGGTGGAAAGGCTATCTGAAGGACATGGCATTTGTGTTGGGCCTTGAAGAACAGATAGGATTTTTACAAGGAACTTTTTGGCTGGAGAATAGAGCACATATATAGAAAGGTAATACGAAATAAAGCTGAAAATGTGGGTTGGTGCCAACACTATAGATGGACCTGAATGACAAATTAAGGAATTTGGACTTTTTAGCAACACGGAGCCACTGAAAGTTTTGGAGCAGTAGAATATGGTGGTCAACAGTAAATGGACCTGATTAAACAGTGGAGTGGTACATCATTCTACCAGAATTTTTCATGCCTTTCCAAATCATCTATTGAATATCCTCAGAAAAAACTAGATCCCCAAATAAAGGGTGAGGACATATACTGCTATGAGATTGGATCTTTTTAGGTGAACCTGACCTTCTGCCATAATTATTTGTTCTAAACACAGAAGAATAGGGAAGGTAAACTTTGCCTCTACAACAATAGAGGGCAAAAGTCAATATTGACATTCTGAGTCTTACATAGGTATTTCTTTGGTAAATTACAGACAACTTTTCCTAATTTTCCCTAGAATGAAGTACAAATTTATCTGCATTAAGTTCTTCAGGCAATACAGATAATACAATTTAGCACTCTTCAACAGAAAATTAATTAAGTCAAATCTTTTTTACCTGAAATATCTGCTTCAAGGAAAAAAGAGCCCGCCTTAACTCTCGGCCACTGGAGTTGTACAGCTTTTCTGAAATTAAATAAAATAACAAATAACATCAATTTCACTGCCCAAATGGATGATTAAGGCACACTGATGATTTGGGTTCATCATGAGAATTTCTATTGAAAAAGTAATTAGAACTGAGAAAGGACATATAATTTAGCCTTCTAACAACATATAGAAATTCAAATTGAGTAAAGGGAGTTTCATAATTGGGAATGGAATAAAGAGGTAAACGTTATTTAGTGGTTACTCTGGTCTTAAGCTTTCAACTACCATCTACCAACTACCAGTTACATTAATAACTCCCTGATATGCATCTTTAACCCTGACCTCTGTCTCTCTCTCTCTCTCTCTCCTCTCTCTGTCTCTGTCTCTCTCTGCCTCTGCGTCTCTGTCTCCGTGTCTGTATCTGTCTGTCTGTCTCTCTCTCTTCTGTGTCTCTGTCTCTGTGTCTGTATCTGTCTATCTCTCTGTCTGTCTGTCTCTCTCTCTCTCTCACACACACACATACACACACACATACACCATTTCCAAACACTTAAATCAAAATCGGAAATTTTCATTTTTTTCTCAAATCAGCACCTCTTCTCAATTCACTCATTATTTTCATTAGATCACTATTTCTCAGTCTCTGTTTTGATGATTCCTTCCTTCATGTGCACAGTAAGCATTTAATCAACATAAGTTTTTACTCCCTACTACTATGCTAAATACTATCAGGCACACAAGAGAAGTATAAGACAAACATGATCCCTGCCTTCTAAGGTCTTGGGACCTAACAGGGAAGATAAGACTTCTACTACACAACTACAGAACAGTATAAAAATACATAATTAAAACTACAGAAAATTTAAGCTCAACAGTTTAGAGATGAATCTCAATAAAATGTGAAGAGTTAAGCTCATTGTCCAATGAACAAAAGCTTTCTGAGGAATAACAAAAGAGGAAATCTGCGGGACAGAAATAGTGAATGGATTATGGGCAGCCTCTCATGGGAAAGGGCAGCTAGGTGGCGCCATAGTGCACAGAGTGCCAGGCCTGGAGGCAGGATGAGGCCTCTTCCTGAATTCAAACCTGGCCTCAGACGTTTACTACCTGTGTGACCCTGGGCAAGTCACTTAACCCTGTTTGCCTCAGTTTCCTCATCTGCAAAATAAGCTGGAGAAGGAAATGGCAAACCACTCCAGTATCTTTGCCAAGAAAACCCCCAGTGGGATCACGGATAATTGGACACAATTGAAAAACAACTAAACAACAAGCAATCATGTGAAAAGACAACAGGCAAAACATGGAACAAACATGTCAGACAACTGACGAAGTCCCCAATTAACAGCCTGGATCTCATGGGATCACCAGAAGCCAAACCGAAGACTGAAAGCTAGCTATCCAGATAAGAATGGAACTAGCAAACACAGGATGAAGGATGTTCAAGTTTAGTATATGTGTGCTTGAAATGGGATGTGATAACAGACATGGATGTGAATATAATTAAGTGTTAGGTTGTGTGGTATTAACCATATGTACAATCGTGTTAGATTTGAGAACCACAGGGGCAGGCAGACAGCTGTGTGGACTGAAGACACTGTGTTTGTTCAGCTGTCCTCATTTGATAATTACTGCTCCGGACCCTCTGGCAATAAAAGCATGAATACGCGTTCTTGATCTTTTTGGTGTAATCTTGCTCCCCGGTCTTTCTGCGACAAAACGCAGAGGGTTATCAGTAGAAGCAGGGCTGACAGAGAGATAATGTAGCAGATTCAGCATATGCATGTGTGTGACCTGGAGTTGATTTTGAGTGGATGAATGAAATAGAAATCAAGAAAATATAGACTATGGATCCTTTTGAATGGCCAGTGGAAACATGGCAATTTGGAAGGCCCTGGAGAAGGCAGCTTGCATTTCAGTTTGTGAAGCTGGGGTAGCTGGTGGAGACTGAGGTCTTCCACCATCTCTTTGAGCCCTGAGACTCTATGTATGTGGGTTCCAATGTCATTCCACTGAGCAATATCAGCATTTGGGAAGTCAAGAGGAGAGGACCCTAGCAGATGAGGCAATCAGACAGGCCAAGCTCTAAACCCCCAGTGCGCAGGGAGACATCGGTGAACCCAGAATCTTCATGTCAGATATGGCAGGAGGAGGGGTGGAAGGGGGAAGTAAACTGGGGTCTGGACATGGGAGAGGTCAGTGTGACTCGCTGTAGTCAAGGGGTGCCTCAAGAGAGGAGGAAAGCTTGGAAAGGGATAGTGGGGACAGTTGGGAAATAGCATGAACAAAAGGTCTAGAGGAAGGAATTAGCCCAGCGGGTGTACTGGTGTACTCAAGTTTTCTGCCTGCATCCTCTAACCCTGCTCCATGTACTAACTGAGCCCCCATCTATTGGTTTAGCCATGGCCTGTTCCCTGGAACCAATCCTGACCTTGGGGTGTGAAGGTTTTAGAAGGAGCTTGACTTTACTAGTTTTCTAGCTCAACATCTGGTCAGTTTAATTGTTCAACCAATTAATCAATCAATAAACATTTATTAAGTGCCTACTACGTGCCAGGCACTGTGCTAAATGCTTTACAAATATTACTTCATTTAATGCTCACAATAACCCTGAGAGTTAGGTTCTATTAATACCCCCATTTTATAGTTGAGGAAACTGAAGTTAAGTGACTTGCCCAGAGCCATACAGCTAGTATATGTCTGAGGCCAGATTTGAACTCAAAAAAATGAGTCTTCCTGACTCTAGACCCAGTACTCTGTCCACTGCACCACCTCACTTCCCCATGAGCCAGGTACTGGGTGACTTATTCAGAGACACATAGTTAGTAGAACTCTAACCCAGGCCCCCTAACTCAAAACCTATTTCTCTTTCCAATCTATCAGAAGCCATCTATACCTTCATCCCCTCATTTTACAAATGAAGAAAAAAACTGAGAGTTAGAGATCAAAGTCACAAATAAATCCAAGGTCCATATCCAACACTGTCAATAACTAAGCTTAAAAATTCCTTCCCTATGAGTTTTACCTAATTATAGCCCCACCTTAATCCCTCTAATCTATGATTCCTTTAGCATTTAAAGGGTCAAGTGATTCAGAACAATACTGCAAAAGTAATTTTTTTCCCTTGTGGCTAATATTGTTTTGTAATATAGCATGGAGGGTTGATAGAAAACTTGACTTTGCAACTAGATTATAAGCTCCTTGAAGGTAGAAACCACGCATCTGTTCTTTTGTATAAACCCTGAGACAAAAGAAAAAAGTCTTGAACATTCAGTACATGCTTCCTAAATAGTTATGATCTTGATTAAGAGTAAGTGATTCAACAATGGCGGGAATGACAAATTCCTAAAAACAAAGCATAAAAGAGGCTCACAAGACATGACCTTTCCAGATGAATAGGGCTCATTCATCATCAAATATCAATGAAACAGAAAGGTTTGGATAAGCCAGAAATGACCCTTTGACGGGAATCTAGAAAATACCTTAACTACTGTTAAATCTCTGAAGCTGGACTGAGAGAGGACAACGTAGCTGGCTGTCTCTCTCTCTGTTAGATTTACCAACAATAATAGGTCACCTTAGCTCCCTAAGCTTATGACCTCTCCCCTAACTTCTACCACTCACATCATACCTTAAATTCAGGACAAGTAAGTCTTTGCCAGCACCACCTCCACTAAAGGAGAATGCTTTACCAATGAAATATCCATGCAAGAAATCGATCATATGAAAATATGGGACAGGGTATTCAACAGATGGCCCTCAATGAGAGGCCAAGCTTTCCTCCATTCTTTTCTAGGCTACACTGCAAGTGCTTTCAGGAAATACATCCAATCTGGGGTGACTGTGATATGCTTTGGGACTCAGTCAGAATTTCTCTCTGACTTGGTTTATATGGTAAACAGGTACTACTGTTACTACTATTAATGATAATGATAATAATTAGCAATTATATAGTGCTTTAAGACTTACAAAGTGCTTTGTGTGTTATCTCATTCAATCCTCTCAACTGGAAGGTTGGAATTATTATTATCATCCCCATTTATTCCCAACTCTAAGACCAGCCCTTTATACACTATATCACCTAACTGCCATATTTATGGGATGGCTCACAATCCTTTATTAATTAATGACTCTATTTTAAATTGTTTTCCCCTGCGCCCTCATTCCTTTCACTTTCCTGCTAAGATCAAGTCACAGTTATGGGAATGTCAGCAGGAGGTATGATCACCATCTCTAACTGAACAGCCATTAGGGTTATTTGCCATAAATATTTACATCATTCATTTATTCCCCTTGCAGAAATCAAAAGGGAACATTTCAGCAAATCTGTCCCCATTGATTCTTTGTGTGCTCAGTCTGGACCTCTGGTTCTAATTGGTACTACTTAGAGTCCCCATTTACTTTTATGAGAACCCATACAAAACTGCCAGTAAACAAAATGCAAGTCCCTGAAAAAATACAAGCAAAAGGGACTTCTCCTCTATCAGCTGAAAGTAAAAATAATACAAGAGTATCTACTTTAATCTGAATGCGGAATCTACCTCAAGAAAGGAGGCAGGGTAGTATGACTAAATGCTCTGGTTAATGAGGGCCAAGCATAGTAATACTTCTTCGTTGGTTTGAAAACCTATCTAATCCATGACTTTTACTCACCTTCCCAGCTAAACTTTACAAAGATTTATCAAATGCTTATCATGTTTAGGAAAAACAACACTCAACTTTCTGCAAATGCCTTCCATTTTTTTTGTTTGTTTGTTTGTGTTTTAGGCAATTGGAGTTAAGTGATTTGCCCAGGGACACACAGCTAGTAAGTGTCAAGTGTTTGGTCTGAGGCCGAATTTGAACTCAAGTCCTCCTGACTTCAGGGCCATGCTCTATCCACTGCGCCACCTAGCTGCCCCCTTTCATTTTCTTTTAAAAAAGCACTGCCATTCACTTTTTAAATTATAAGGTGGTATTATTTGTTTTTGAAAAAACAGGTAACATTCTCAGCTGCCTTGATTTTTTCAAAATAAAATTCTTTCCACTCATTTGCTTTA